GTGCCCCACTCTAATCAGCTATTTAAGCCATAACACCTGCAAAGGGTTCCCGAGCCTTTAAATGGTCTCTCAGTCTGGTTCAGTAGCAATCACAATCATGGGAAAGACTGCTGACCTGACAGCTGTGCAGAAAACCATCACTTACACCCTCCATAAGGAGGGAAAGCCTCAAAAGGTAATTGCAAAAGAAGTTGGATGTTCCCAAAGTGCTGTATCAAAGCATATTAATGGAAAGTTATGTGGAAGGGAAAAGTGTGGAAGAAAAAAGGTGCACAAGCAGCAGGGATGACCGCAGCCTGGAGAGAATTGTCAGGAAAAGGCCATTCAAAAGTGTTGGGGGCTTTCACAAGGAGTGGACTAAGGCTGGAGTCAGTGCATCAAGAGCCACCACACACAGACGGATCCTGGACATGGGCTTCAAATGTCGTATTCCTCTTGTCAAGCCGCTCCTGAACAACAAACAACGTCAGAAGCGTCTTACCTGGGCTAAAGAAAAACAGACCTGGTCTGTTGCTCAGTGGTCCAAAGTCCTCTTTTCTGATGAGAGCAACTTTTGCATCTCATTTGGAAACCAAGGACCCAGAGTATGGAGGAAGAATGGAGAGGCACACACTGCAAGATGCTTGAAGTCCAGTATGAAGTTTCCACAGTGTGTTGATTTGGGGAGCCATGTCATCTGCTGGTGTTGGTCCATTGTGCTCTTCATTAAGTCCAGGGTCAACGCAGCCGTCTACCAGGAGATTTTGGAGCACTTCATGCTTCCTTCCGCAGACGAGCTTTATGGGGATATTGACTTCATTTTCCAGCAGGACTTGGCACCTGCCCACACTGCCAAAAGCACCAAAACCTGGTTCAATGACTGTGGGATTACTTTGCTTGATTGGCCAGCAAACTCGCCGGACCTGAACCCCATAGAGAATCTATGGGGCATTGCCAAGAGAAAGAGGAGAGACATGAGACCAAACAATGCAGAAGAACAGCCGCTATTGAAGCATCCAGGTCTTCCATAACACCTCAGCAGTGCCACAGGCTGATAGCTTCCATGCCACGCCGCACTGAGGTAGTAATTACTGCAAAAGGGGCCCAAACCAAGTACTAAGTAGATATGCATGCTTATACTTTTCAGAGGTCCGATATTGTTCTATGTACAATCCTTGTTTTATTGATTGCATGTAATATTCTAATTTTCTGAGATTGTGGATTTGGGGGTTTCAAGAGCTGTAAGCCATAATCATCACAATTATGACAAATCACAGCTTGAACTGTCTTGCTTTGCATGTAATGAGTCTATCTCATATATTAGTTTCACCTTTTACGTTGCATTACTGAAATAAATGAACTTTTGCACGATATTCTAATTTTTCGAGTTTCACCTGTACTTACCTGTTTTCAGGCTGCTCCAGTATGGTTACGTGATCTGACTTCCCTTTGCCAGCCAGCAGCAACTTACACTGGGGAGATCACATGGTTAGACTGGAGCAGCCTGAAAACAGGTATGTATATACATCTTTTATACGGATTTGTCATTTCATAAAAGGGGGGGGGGGGGGGGGCATTTTTAAGATTGCCTAGGTATAGCCTGGAATTCCACTTTAACTAAATTGCTCCTTACTTAGGGGTGCCATATACACTTAAGGCAGACAGATGTTTGTGAAATTGTCTCATCATTAAACCTGTCAAGACCTGAAGAAAACATCTATATGTCATAATTGTGTACTGGTGTATGTGTAGTTTACAATTTCCTTCCTCTTTGGTGCCTATTACATATTTGCCAATAAGCTGGAAGCCCTATAGGTTGCATGTGAAGCTTGGATAGGGCATATATGAGTCTGTACCTAAGATCTAGTAAATATTATTGAGAACAGATAAAATACCCACTCCCTTACCTTGTTCTCTTAAGATCAGTTGCATCACTTTTCAAATTGTGTATGGCTGACTCTGTTGCTGCACTGCAGTTCTGTATTTATTTTCTAAATGACACATGGTCATCAACATGGAAGTTACCGTATTTTTCGCTCCAAAGACACACTTTTTTCTCCCCCAAAAAAGGGGGGAAAATGTCAGTGCGTCTTATGGAGCGAATATTGAGCGGCCGGTCCGGTATTTTCACCACCGCCGTGTCAGAATACCGGGCCAGCCGCTCAGCTCTGCAGTGGGACCTTACCTGTTCCTCTATCCAGCGGCACGCTGTCTTCCCGGCTTCTGTAGTGTGCGTGACAGCCGGGTGCCAAGTGCGCATGAAGCGGTGCTCTTTGTGAATGGTAAGGCGGTACCTGGGACACATGACAGATCCCAGAAGTCGCCGGACCAATCACAAAGCGCAGCGCTTCTCGCTCATGCGCACTGGGCATCCGGCTGTCCGCCGAGCGCCTACACTACAGAAGCCGGGAAGACAGCGCGCGGCGGATAGAGGAACAGGTAAGATCAAAGAACAACTCCGCGGAAGTAAGTGCGGGTACCTGTCAAATTCAGGTACCCGCTCCCCCCCTCCCCAAAGGTCAGCAGTCATCTCCTGTACTGTGTCCGCAGTCTCTGGTCATCTCCTGTACTCTGTCCGCCGTCTCTGGTCATCCCCTGTACTCTGTGTCCGCCGTCTCTGGTCATCCCCTGTACTGTGTCCGCAGTCTCTGGTCATCCCCTGTACTGTGTCCGCAGTCTCTGGTCATCCCCTGTACTGTGTCCGCAGTCTCTGGTCATCCCTGTACTGTGTCCGCAGTCTCTGGTCATCTCCTGTACTGTGTCCGCAGTCTCTGGTCATCTCCTGTACTGTGTCCGCAGTCTCTGGTCATCTCCTGTACTGTGTCCGCAGTCTCTGGTCATCTCCTGTACTGTGTCCGCAGTCTCTGGTCATCTCCTGTACTGTCCGCAGTCTCTGTCATCTCCTGTACTGTGTCCGCAGTCTCTGGTCATCTCCTGTACTGTGTCCGCAGTCTCTGACCATCTCCTGTACTGTGTCCGCAGTCTCTGACCATCTCCTGTACTGTGTCCGCAGTCTCTGACCATCTCCTGTACTGTGTCCGCAGTCTCTGACCATCTCCTGTACTGTGTCCGCAGTCTCTGACCATCTCCTGTACGGTGTCCGCAGTCTCTGACCATCTCCTGTACGGTGTCCGCAGTCTCTGACCATCTCCTGTACGGTGTCCGCAGTCTCTGACCATCTCCTGTACTGTGTCCGCAGTCTCTGGTCATCTCCTGTACTATGTCTGCAGTCCATTAGTTCAGAATTTTTTTTTCCTGTTTTCTGCCTCTAAAACCTAGGTGCGTCTTTTGGTCAGGTGCGTCTTATGGAGCGAAAAATAAGGTACTTTTTTTTTTTTTTTTTTATGAAAATATACAGTCAGGTCCATAAATATTGGGACAGGAAAGGAAAGATGGAAAATGCCCATCATCTTAAACTTGAAAGGGCATCCATCAGTTTCAAAAAGATTAGCCTTTTAGTTATTATTCACAAAAAAACAAGGTTGCATTTTACAGTTAAATGCCACAAACATTGTAGTTTTAATGTCACTAACTGTACACCTTTAGCTTACTAATGATGAACTTCTATACTTTAGTTATAGAAGTATAGCCAAAGCGCTTTAGACTATACTTCTCCTCAATTTCATAACTAAGTGCACTCCTGTGACCCAGATTCAGCTGATACCGGATAAGGCCTGCTGTGAACTGATGTGACAGAGCCACTCTAGATTTAGGTGGGCACTTTTATATGATATCTTTTGGGAACTTAGCTTTTGCTGACACAATCATGTTTTTTTTGTAAACTAAGTTAGGAGTAAATTTGTCACATATTTATAGAGGTACAGTAGCACTGTTTTTTTCACATTTCATATTTTATCCTTGTGTGCACTAAGAGGGGAGCACATTGAAACAACAGCTGGGATTACTATTTAATATCTTACCCACAGCACAGGTAACAACTTTCTCTGCTCATTGTATACCAAGAACTAAGCAATCAGCTGTCATGTGATCGCTCAGTTATTGGTGTTAAAACCAGTGGCGGACATATGCAGTATTGGATTGATGCTGCACCCACATAGGTATGTATTTCTTTTTTAATCCTGTACTTCTTTTTTAAATTCAACACAAGTAAATCAGAATGTGCATGTGCTAGTTTTATGACAACCATAATATATACTATAGGTCAAAGCTGTGCCCAATTCAATTTAAAATGAAATATGTCACAACAATCAAGGGGTTAAAACAGGTCCATAGTAAGTGGTGTTCTCTCTGGTCCAAAAGCTGACCTTCACCATTTTTGACAATGTAGTGAACCACAAAGCACGGTAGTGCTGTATCTTGTGCTGTGGTGAGCAGAAATGCAGATGTTTGGATTTTAGAGTGTAATCAATGAAAAATAAAAACGTTGAAGGTAAGTTACTGCAACACAAGTCTCAAAGGAGGCCTGAAGGTTGATGTTAAATGGGTGACTGTAGTATCACGTAATCCATTCTGTTAAGTGGTACTCTCACCACAGCCTCCTCCTTCTGGTATTTTTTTCCCCCAACTTTCAAGGTTGTAATGTACATGTGAAAAAATAGCAAACTTAGTTCAACTACTGCAGATGTAAAATGGAAGGGCAAATCCCGTTTTCAGTAAAACAGCAATTTTCGTATTAAGTCATAAGTTATAATAAAGAAAACATTTATGTGTAGCCAATTATTTCTATATTTTAAAAATTAAAAGTATGGATAAAGGCATGCAGTGGCCAAACAGTAAACATTTCTGAAATTATAATGAAATATGAATACACCCAAACTATTTCTTTAGTTATAATAACATTTGTCTGCTCTGCATATACAGAACATAGGTGAAATGTGCTGGAAATTGTGCAAAGTAAAACTCAAAAAATGGCTTAATAATGTTTGGGTAAACTGTACATAAATGCATTACTGGTAACCTTCAAAGTCCTCAGTTATAACCACTTAAACAGATGAAAGACAGCCCAAAAATCCTTTCAATATACTGAGATGGCAGATTACAATGTTTTTAGGCACAGTAGGCTATATACCTAGAAGGACCATCTTGATGTAAGATATGGTGGTCATATTTGACAGCATTGCAATGTGTTCATTACCCAGCAGCTCCACTAAAGATACTTTCTGTTTCTGCTTGCCTACCCACTTACGACACTGTAAGGCACTTTCTATATTAACTGTTCCATCTCCAGGTCCATATATTATGTTTGGGTCTTTGTCTGGGAAAGTATCATACTGGAACGAATCAGGAGTGTCCACTTCATTACCATAAAGACAGTGTACAGGAACTCCAGGAGGTGTAAGAGATGATATTATTTCCTCAGTCTCTTTCCTCATGACCCAACCTTCTGGAAAGCCAATGTCATTATAAAACTTCTGGTAGTCCTGCAGTGTGTAGTTTGCACTGTGTGTCCTTACAAATACTTTGTCAGGGGACCACGTGTTACTGTACGGAAGTAGCCAACTGGTAGATACTGCTGAGCGCTGCTGGTCACGAATCCGTAATGAACTGATTACTGGAATTCTGTTGTTATCTCCTATAATGTAGATATTAAGTGTAAAAATTAATAAACTTTATAAGGGTATATGTACAAATAAGAAAAAACAACAGTTAATATTTACTGTGCAGGAAAGTCTGAACTTATAGAAGTTTTATAGCTGAACTCCAAGAAAAATGCTAAAGACACAAATTAAAAATACATATAGGGAAACTGCTTTACTTGGTAAAGGATTTGTATTTTTGTCCATCTAGCTGTGAAATTTACAGAGCTCAGTCACACAACACAGCCCTGTCTGGCAGGGGAGAACACATGATTTTTCTCTGCTGCAGTTCATTATAGTTTCAGGTCTCCTTTACAACCCCACCCTGTGACTGGAAAGTGAAAGAAGAAGCAGCAAACCAAAAAGATCATCTGTCACCCTGTTCTCACCTCCTACCAGCATGCCCCTTGCACTGCACTACAACTGATTGGCTTCCTTGCATTTTTTTTCTTCCTTCCCCAAGTATAAGTTCTTCTGCATAAGGACTGTAGAAGTCTGATGCCAAGTCAAATTCAAGCACTAACACTGTTTGCAATAAAACTACATTTAGGAATGTATTAAAGCTGCATTAATTTGTGTGTGTATAAATATAAATGCGCCTAAAGTTCAGCTTAAACTATAACGAAAGGCAAAATTATTATTTTTTGTTTGGTTTTAGATATTGGTTTGTCCCTAGAACAGTAAAAAGGAGGGGAAATCTTCCAATTGGGAAACTAGCTTTGGTGACAACCAGTGATTCCCTCTGTTTGGAGGGATTTTACTCTCATTTCCTGTTTTGGTTGGGGGATAGGAAGTGAAGGAAAATCTCCCCACTGAGACACATATGGCAGAAAAACCTAATAGGGGCTATAACCCTCCTATACTCTACCCCCCTCCAAAATAAAAAATGGAAAAAAAATGTTTTGCCTTTAGTTCTACTAAATGTACCTGACATATACTTTTTTGGGTCCATGCACACGGGAATGATGCATGAATGCGGATCTTCCTGGCAGAAAGTCCCTGTGTAAAAAATGTGGGGATGGTCTGTGCTTGCATTTATAGCATAATCTACTATTCAAAGTTGAGGTGTCGCTAACACACGTAAGCAAAGCTAAGGGCCATTCCCACCCACAGACGGAAGTGTTATAAATGCTAATATCTCTACATTATTTTTATGCATACAATTTATTTTTCATATTGATATTGACTACATATCTGAAGCGTATGTCACACTCCCAGTATAACTTATATTTCTGATGCTGTACATGAATGTGATACAATTTTTATTTCCATTCTCTCATGTAAATTTTTTTTTTTGTGTGTACAATAATAAAATGATAGGTTTTTAATATATTCTTGTGACCAGTAAAGCAGATGTTTCTTTTCTTTTTTTTTTCCCCTGATCTAAATGTGGCACTAGATAAAAGCAAGATACCTTAAAGACACATTTTAAATTACTACTATCTGAGTGCATATGCCAGTTTAGAAGTCTTTTGAATAAATTGTATGATTACTTTGGAGCAGCTTTTAAAGAATTAAATTTCATACTGACCTGAAGCAAGAACTCGCATTGTTTTAGATACTCCACCCCAAGGAGCACCAAGAGCCACAAAAGAATGAATGTATTTGTCCTTCCAGTTTTGCGTCTGATGGTTAAGGAAATAAAGTGTATACAGGTTTCCCATACTGTGTGCAATGAGTGCCACAGGGCTCTTGTAGGTTTCAAACATAGTTTCTATAAGCTTCTCTAAAGCTTCAAAGTATTCGGTGTTCTCATCTGGATAAGAGAAAATAGAATTAATTTGCCAATACTTGGATTCATTCTTTAACCTGCCTTCTTCCATCCTTTTTATTGTTCCCTTTTTATGAACAAAGTGGATGCAACAGCTATACTGCTGACTTTCCTTGTCCATCACTATATATCTCTTTTATCATGACTTGCTGGATATCAGACCAGAACATACTATCATAATACTACAGGTAAACCTGTATGAACGCTTCGGTTAACATAATTTTCGGTTTACTAATAAAAATCCATTGAAAATAATGCCTCGGTTTACAAATTTTTTTCGCAATATGAACGGATTAATTGGTTTTCAATGCATTTACGAATTAATTTTTAATCATGTCCCTGTGCAGTATTTATGCCTTTAAGGTACACTTTATAAAGAGCTTTGAACAGATAAAAGACTTTTTTTTCACTTTTTTCTGACCTCCGGAACAGATTAATTGGTTTTCAATGCATTCCTATGGGAAACCATGTTTCGGTTTACGAATTTTTCGCAATATGAAAAGTCCCACAGAATGCATTCAATTCGTAAACCGAGGTAAGACTGTATTTACAAAGCTCTTAAGAAAGTACTACTTATCACAATTTTAACTGTAAGCAAGTTTTGTCAAATAAAATGTAAGCAACTAGCATCCCATTAAAATGAGGTTATAATGACATGAAGAGAAATGTGCTACTTAGCAGGCCTGTGGCAGTCTCATTAAATGTTGGGGATCGGTGCGTGTTTTTGGCAAAGAGAAAGGAACTTATTTTCCATGTTTCTTGTGCATAGGTCAGCACACTGAAATAATGGGCTGCTCTACACTCGCTGAGCAGAAACGCACCTGTGCTTGGTTTCAACTGTACAAGTAACAAACCTTAGTTTAAACACAGTAGCAATAAAAATAAACATAAAAAAATCAGTGCAAGAATAATACCAGTGAAACTCAAAAAATTAGAATATTGTGCAAAAGTTCATTTATTTCAGTAATGCAACTTAAAAGGTGAAAAACTAATATATGAGATAGACTCATTACATGCAAAGCAAGATAGTTCAAGCCGTGATTTGTCATAATTGTGATGATTATGGCTTACAGCTCATGAAAACCCAAAATCCACAATCTCAGAAAATTAGAATATTGTGAAAAGGCTCAAAGTATCCCACTCTAATCAGCTAATTAAGCCATAACACCTGCAAAGGGTTTCTGAGCCTTTAAATGGTCTCTCAGTCTGGTTCAGTAGGAATCACAATCATGGGAAAGACTGCTGACCTGACAGTTGTGCAGAAAACCATCATTGACACCCTCCATAAGGAGGGAAAGCCTCAAAAGGTAATTGCAAAAGAAGCTGGATGTTCCCAAAGTGCTGTATCAAAGCACATTAATAAAAAGTTATGTGGAAGGGAAAAGCGTGGAAGAAAAAGGTGCAAAAGCAGCAGGGATGACTACAGCCTGGAGAGGATTGACAGGAAAAGGCCATTCAAAAGTGTTGGGGACTTTCACAAGGAGTGGACTGAGGCTGGAGTCAGTGCATCAAGAGCCACCACACAGAGACAGATCCTGGACATGGGCTTCAAATGTCGTATTCCTCTTGTCAAGCCGCTCCTGAACAACAAACAACGTCAGAAGAAGCGTCTTACCTGGGCTAAAGAAATACAGACCTGGTCTGTTGCTCAGTTGTCCAAAGTCCTCTTTTCTGATTTTCTGATGAGAGCAACTTTTGCATCTCATTTGGAAACCAAGGACCCAGAGTATGGAGGAAGAATGGAGAGGCACACACTGCAAGATGCTTGAAGTCCAGTGTGAAGTTTCCACAGGCTGTGTTGATTTGGGGAGGCATGTCATCTGCTGGTGTTGGTCCACTGTGCTTCATTACGTCCAGGGTCAACGCAGCCATCTACCAGGTGATTTTGGAGCACTTCATGCTTCCTTCCGCAGACTAGCTTTATGGGGATGCGGACTTAATTTTCAGCAGAATTTGGCACCTGCCCACACTGCCAAAAGCACCAAAACCTGGTTTAATGACTGTGGGATTGCTGTGCTTGATTGGCCAGCAAACTCGCCTGACCTGAACCCCATAGAGAATCTATGGGGCATTGCCAAGAGAAAGAGGAGAGACATGAGACCAAAACAATGCAGAAGAGCTGAAGGTCGCTATTGAAGCATCCTGGTCTTCTATAACACCTCAGCAGTGCCACAGGCTGAGAGCTTCCATGCCACGCCGCATTGAAGCAGTAATTGCTGCAAAAGGGGCCCTAACCACGTACTGAGTACATATGCATGCTTATACTTTTCAGAGGTCCCATATTGTTCTATGTACAATCCTTGTTTTATTGATTGCATGTAATATTCTAATTTTCTGAGATTGTGGATTTGGGGTTTTCATGAGCTGTAAGCCATAATCATCACAATTATGACAAATCACAGCATGAACTATCTTGCTTTGTATGTAATGAGTCTATCTCATATATTAGTTTCACCTTTTAAGTTGCATTACTGAAATAAATGAACTTTTGCACGATATTCTAATTTTTCGAGTTACACCTGTAAGTTACAGTCCATAGGATGCGTCCCTTGTGCTGAATGCCTCTTCTTTTAGTTGAAATCCTCCACCATACATGCCCACTTACCACACATAATCTTCCAGTAATATGGGGGTTGATACAACTAAGGGGCTCTCACAGGCTCCCATGAAGAGCCCAACTATGCCTGTCCTGTCTATCACAGAAGCCATATTAGAGCTTCTATGAATGAAACAGAATCTAAGACAATAGGGTTGACAGATGAGTTATAGGTCCTTTCTCATTCATAGATCACATTTCATTCACAGAAGCTGTAGTACAACTTCTATGAATGGAACAGTTGGGCAGAAAGTGTGGTCATAGTCAAGCTCTCTCGATGAGAGCTTCTGCCAGCTCCTTAGTTATATTGACCCCTGCTACACCAAACAATTATGGAGACAGGGGGCATCCATGGAGGAGGATTTAATCTTAAAGAAGAGGCATCAGTACAAGAAACACAACCTACTGATTGTACGTAGTGGTTATACGCAGTGAGAGAGAAAGTGTCCACTATCTAAGCAAGCTCTTATTTAAGCTTTGAGCATTTCAATACTATCACATAAGTTTCAATTTTCTCCCTGTCCAGGAAACCTACTTTTCTGAAAACTAGGTTTTCCCTATAATGATGGGAAATATTTTCTCCTCTGGTGAATCAAAAGGTTAAAAAAAAAATGTTTTGAAAGAAGATTACATTGAACACTATATTTTAGTTAAGGGAGAGTTTTAGGATTTCTTGGTTACCTCAATATCATAATGCACATACAATTTGTGACAAGTCCAGAGTTTCTGGTCTTTACTTTCACATGTGGAGATTTAAAGGTTGCTTTAGATAAATCTTCCTATTGCAAACCAACTTTACGCCATAACAGGTATCCATCAAAGTCTTTACTAAAAGGAACATCAACTCTTATCTAAACCATGTCTGGAATATGCTAGCTTCTAACCATGCACAACGTAAAACAAAACAAAATGTAATTTTGTTTGTATTTAGGTGTAAAAAAAAAAAAAAAAAAAAAAAAAAAAAAAAACTTACTTGGAGCTTTTCGCCAGTCGTAAGGAGCACCTCTTATGTCTGCATCACGTGTGTACCCCCAATCAACCATACTCTGAACAAGTGTGTGGAAATATATTCCTAAAAAAAATTTGCAAGGATTGTAGATTAAAAGAAACCTGTACTAAAAGAAATACAAGAGCTGGCAATCTAACCTTCTTCTAAGAATTCTAATTGTCTGGTTGTCTTTGCTTTCAGTGCTTTGAGCCAAAAACCCAGAAACTTATCTGTACACCTGTTACAAATCAGTTCATCGTGGTATTGAAGGCAATGTATTGGTTTGAAAGCCAGACAACCACGATTTTCAGAAAGAAAGGAAAGCAATGGCAGCCGTTATTCTGTAAAAACGGGTTTCCTTTGAATCAAAATATTAAAACATTATTGCTAAATATGTGCCAGTCATGACTCCATCTCTCCTAAATAAAACATCTGTCACAATGACCTATGCCAAACTAATGACCTTAATATTGGAAAAAGTCAAAGTGGTTCCTCAGCACTAAGAGCTCATTCACACTTGTGCGACCTGCCATGCGACTTTGGTGTCCAAAAGTGACATGACATGTCGCACCCCAGGTTTCCATTCATATCTGTGCACTTCAAGTCACAGCGACTTGAAAGTCATTCCTGCACTACTTTGGTCTGAGTTTCATGCGACTTGAGGGCTATACACCTCAATGTAAACCCTCCAAAGTCGCATGATAGTCGCACCTGAATATGTGTGCGACTTTGTAGAGCACAAATTTGGTCAAAGCCAAACTGTGAATGAAGCCTAAATGCATTAACCCAGTTCTGAGAAGCAAATGACTATTTTCCATCACTACAGTGCTCCCAAAAAGGGTCTGCTGATATTTTACAGAATGATACCTTGTATCTTTCCATTACCTGTCTGAACTAGTGTGATTTCAGATGCAACTTGAGTCCCACAGAATCACATGACTATGAAAATCACACTGCTTTCAATGGTGCCCGTTCAGATCAGCACAGCACAATTTTGGAAAAGGTTCCTGCACCACTTTGGTGCAATACCAGAATTTGGGTTCCATAGATTTCAATGGAAATGCACCACATACGCATCTACATATGATCTAGTGACATTTCAAAATTGTGCCAATGACGCAACCAAGTCGCCATACATAATACATACTGAAAATGGAATCATTTTTGGAGCCACAGTAGTGTGAACCTTGCCCGAGTCAGATAGCTGACAGAACTCCTGAGTAGACATTAACTTGAATCTTGAATAATCACACCTGAAAAATGCTGTATAGTGGGAAGGGGAGTCCCAGCAGCAGGGATAGGAGGGCTGGATGTGCTACACACGTCCTGCATACTATAATGACACTTTTGGGGGGCACATCCAAAGTCTTGAACTAGTAAAGTCATATGTGGAGCAATTTTCCATCCTACAACCAGGGGTTGCAGGACATAACATTGCTTGATTCCCCCATCAGCAATGTCAGTGTTGACGGGGGAATCCCTCCCATAGAGCCATTATGTTCTCCCTGCCGAACACAGTGATTACTGCTAGCAGCTATAATAGCCGCTAGCAATATTCGTATATGAAATCCAACAGGTTGTTTGTACCCAAGTTGACCGATCAGCTTGGCCATACATGGTTCAAATCTTGGCTGATCCCTGCTGAACTGGCCAAGATTTGAACCGTCTATGGTTGGCTTTAATCCCTAAGCTGCCAGGCTTATTAACTGCATCCCCACCGCCCTATAGCAGAAATACTGCTACAGGGCGGCAGGGGTGTGCAAAATCATGTTTATATACACGTGGTTTTGCATTTCCAGGTAGGCGGCACATGCGCCCTACCTGCGCCATCATTTGCGGTTGCCAATCACCGGGTTCCGGTCGGTAATTACTAGCCGGCGCCAGGTGATTTCTGATGACCACTGCTGTATTGGTGTCACTGGGGATGTCAGTGACACCAAGTCAGTTCCCCCCCCCATGTCAGAATGTCCGCCGCAGTCCAGCTATAAGTAGCTGATCGCCGCCATTACTAGTAAAAATAAAATTATAAAAAAAAACCCAGTTTATAGACTGCCATTTTTAAACGCTATAACTTTCATGTAAATAAATTTACACATATTGGGATTTTTTTTTTAGCAAAGACATGTTGTAGAATACATTTTGGCATAAATTTATGACGAAAAATTTGATTTTTAAATTTTTTTTACCAGACATGTTTAATAGCAAAAAGTCAAAAGGGTCGGTCTATTTTTTTCAGAGCACAAAAAATAAAAAAGCACAGGTGGTCAAATACCACTGAAAGAAAGCTCAATTCGTGGGAAAAAAAGGATATAAATTTAATTTGGGTGCAGAGCTGCAACACCGTGCAATTGTCAGTTAAGGTAACGCAGCGCCGTAATACCAAATATGGCCTGGTCAGAAAGGGGGGGTAAATACTCAGGAGGGCAAGTGGTTAAATAGATAGGGAAGTATAGTATATTTACTTGTTTTAACTTTTTTTTTTTTTTTTTTTAACATTTCTTCAGTTTCTTTCTGGTTTCTGGAAAATTATGTCATACATCCCAGCAGTCTACATGGTAATTTTTTTAATATAACCTGAAGGAGGGGAGGAGGGGCTTTCTCAGCTAAGCACACTCTCCTGCCTGCATGCCTGAACTAAGGGCAGATTAATCATCTGCTTTTACTTAAGATGTCCACTGCTACAAATGTTAGGGGGGGTTTTAAAGTGATTTCTCAACAAAATAAAGCATGGCGACATGGATGCAGGAATGGATGGTGTTGCTTTGAATATTAAAAATGTATTAAATGGTGTTTTTAGTTTATGGTGCTCAGATTCAGTTTAATTTCACTTTAACTTCAGTCATACACAATTGATTACCCGCTAAAGGATTTAAATTTCTGCTCATCCATTTCTGAGATCTATACAGTGCTTTCAGACTACCCAACTTTTGTTTATCACAGTGAATGCAAACTCCCCAAAAAGGGAACTACAGTGGGGCAAAAAAGTATTTAGTCAGCCACCTATTGTGCAAGTTCTCCCAAAAGATGAGAGAGGCTTGTAATTGGCATCATAGGTAGACCTCAACTATGAGAGACAAAATGAGAAAAAAAATCCAGACAATCACATTGGCTGATTTGGAAAGAATTTATTTGCAAATTATGGTGGAAAATAAGCATTTGATCAATATCAAAAGTTCATCTCAATACTTTGTTATATATCCTTTGTTGGCAATGACAGAGGTCAAACGTTTCCTGTAAGTCTTCACAAGGTTGGCACACACTGTTGCTGGTATGTTGGCCCATTCCTCCATGCAGATCTCCTCTACAGCAGTGATGTTTTGGGGCTGTCGCTGGGCAACACGGACTTTCAACTCCCTCCAAAGGTTTTCTATGGGGTTGAGATCTGGAGACTGGCTAGGACACTCCAGGACCTTGAAATGCTTCTTACGAAGCCACCCTTTCGTTGCTCGGGCGGTATGTTTGGGATCATTGTCATGTTGGAAGACCCAGCCATGTTTCATCTTCAATGCCCTTGCTGATGGAAGGAGGTTTGCACTCAAAATCTCACGATACATGGCCCCATTCATTCTGTCCTGTACATGGATCAGTCGTCCTGGTCCCTTTGTGGAGAAACAGCCCCAAAGCATGATGTTGCCACCCCCATGCTTCACAGTAGGGATGGTGTTCTTTGGATGCAACTCAGCATTCTCTCTCCTCCAAACACGAGTTGTGTTTCTACCAAACAGTTCTATTTTTGTTTCATCTGACCATATGACATTCTCCCAATCCTCTTCTGGATCATCCAAATGCTCTCTAGCAAACTTCAGATGAGCCCGGACATGTACTGGACACTGCAGGGGGACACGTCTGGCACTGCAGGATCGGAGTCCCTGGCGACGTAGTGCATTACTGATGGTAGCCTTTGTTACGTTGGTCCCATCTCTCTGCAGGTCATTCACTAGGTCCCCCCGTGTGGTCCTGGGATTTTTTCTCACCGTTCTTGTGATCATTTTGACCCCACGGGGTGAGATCTTCCGTGGAGCCCCAGATCGAGGGAGATTATCAGTGGTCTTGTATGTCTTCCATTTTCTAATTATTGCGCCCACAGTTGATTTGTTCACACCAAACTGCTTGCCTATTGCAGATTCAGTCCTCCCAGCCTGGTGCAGGTCTACAATTTTGTTTCTGGTGTCCTTCGACAGCTCTTTGGTCTTCACCATAGTGGAGTTTGGAGTGTGACTGTTTGAGGTTGTGGACAGGTGTCTTTTATACTGATAAGTTCAAACAGGTGCCATTGATACAGGTAATGAGTGCAGGACAGATGAGCCTCTTGAAGAAGGTACAGGTCTGTGAGAGCCAGAAATCTTGCTTGTTTGTAGGTAACCAAATACTTATTTTCCACCATAATTTGCAAATAAATTCTTTCCAAATCAGCCAATGTGATTGTCTGGATTTTTTTTCTCATTTTGTCTCTCATAGTTGAGGTGTAGCTATGATGCCAATTACAGGCCTCTCTCATCTTTTTAAGTGGGAGAACTTGCACAATTGGTAGCTGACTAAATACATTTTTGCCCCGCTGTAAATAAGGAATTGAATACAGGTAATTACATTGTCTGTATTTAGCAATATATTTCATTATAATTTAAAGAATACATAACTACCTTAATTGATTTTTTTTTTTTTTTTTTGGTCTGAAGTTTAGCTATTAAGTTGATCATGCTCTATGTAATCTAATTTGATGATCTCCTTCATATCTACAATCTGCTATGCAGTGCATGGGCCTATATTTGATACAAATTGAATGCATTGTTAAGGTTCCTCTCTGCTGGTTAGAGTTAGACAAGTCACATATGGTTGCAGGAAAGAAAATCGCACGACTCCAGTCAGTGTTGATTGGAGAATCTCTCTCATCGAGCTATTGTGTTCTCCTGGCGCAGAGCCATCCCTGACAACACAATGATTACAGCTAGCAGTTATAATCGCAGGCAGTAATCTCATGATAAAAATCTGAAATGCTGGTTCAGCCTTTAGAACCATTTTAGTTTTTAGTTGCGGAGCACTGTAGAGCTTGAATTC